CTTAAATGCATAATCTCCTAATACAATGTTATTGCGATGTGTGCCATTGATGTTGACAGATATAAGTAGTATATATCATCAGTCCAAAGTGGAATGTCTGGCGAAGAACAACAAAATTTGCAACAATCAATGAATAGATTTTGCAAATGATGTATTTACTGTATGGTTCTCAGATTTTATCACCATATTCTTTAATGTTGTGGTAAAATACATTCGGTTGTTGCCTCCTATGTTCTCGTTCATTACGTAACCATTATATAAATTATTGCATATGGTTTTGTAATAAGCATATTGTTTATATACAAAGAAATATCAATTTATTTGTTATGAATAATGGTATACTGTGCATTTACGAAATTCACGAAACATTCCCACTTTGAATACATATTACTGTGGAATTAACGGTAACTAATTGCATATCAAACGATAAGTTAACTTGTTTTGAACTGTTTATTTAGAGATCAGTTTGATGATTGTGCTGATTATACACAAAAATTCTTATTATTCATTATGTTTCAAAAACCCTAATATACGGATTGTAATACTTAACGTAACCCAACAATGAAGAACTATGCTTTTTTATATTGGATAAAGGTAGGAATCAGAATACTGGCTTAATCTATTTACAATTGCTTGTTTAATAGAAGAATGATTGCTTGTTTATTAAATATGGATGTACGATCAGCTTTTAGGGTTTGAAATTTTTGATATTTAAGACATAATTGACGAATCTTAAGTAGTATGAAACATGTGCTGTCTATTACATTACTTATTTCTGTTAAAAAAATATGCCCTGGGTTCGAATTTCGTGAGGTGGGATCGTGGATGTACACTTCTGAGAAGTCCCATCCTAGGATGAAACGACCGTCCGATGTTTCCAGGTTATCCATGGTGGTTGAAGTTAGACATTAACACCGTTGGATGCCGGCTCAGTGGTCTAATGGTTAAGTGCTCGCGCGCGAAGCCAGTAGGTCCTGGGTTCAAGCCCCGCGTGGTGCGGGATCGTGGATGCGCACTGCTGAGGAGTCCCATACTAGGACGAAACGGCCTTCCAGTGCTTCCAGGTTTTCAATGGTGGTCTAGCTTCAACTGACTCATGATTTCAATCTGTGAAAATTTCTAAAAATCTCCACAAACCCCTTCTGATACTAATCACATTTGTTCGGAATATCAAAGATAAAAAACTTTCTATTAGTTACAACAAATAGTTCTTCAATTATAAATCTAATTTTCTATTTACTTTTTAATTAATTAGTAATTTGACTTACAACAAGCTAAATAAGTGACTTTCAATATTATTTTGATTACTATCGGTAAAGATGCAGTGAATATTTAAACAATTTTACTGTTTCAAAGAAATTTACAATTGATTTGGATTTTGGTGTAATACTGCAAAGTAAAGGACGGTGTAAGGCAAAATTGCTTACTTTCAGCCTTCATTTTTCTGTTAATGATCGACTGGATCATGAAGACGTCAACATCTGGGATACGGTGGACAGCTAGGATGTAGCTAGACGATCTAGACTTCGCAGATGATCTGGTCCTTCTATCCCAAACGCAACAACAGATGCAGGAGAAGACGAACAGTGTGGCAGCAGCCTCAGCAGCAGTAGGTCTCAATATACACAAAGGGAAAAGCAGGATTCTCCGATACAACAGAGAATGCACAAATCCAATCACACTTGACGGAAAAGATTTAGAGGATGCAAACCCCTCTACATATCTGAGTAGCATCATTGATGAACACGGTGGATCTGTTGCAGATGTGAATGAGCGGATCGGCAAAGCAAGAGCAACACATTTACAACTGAACAACATCTGGAACTCAATGCAACTTCCAACCAACATCAAAGTCACAATTTTCAATACAAATATCAAGACAGTCCTACTGTATGTTGCGGAAACTTGGAGAACCACTAAATTCATCATCTAGAAGATACAAGTGTTTATCAATAGTTGTCTACACACAAAATACTTCGGATCCGTTGGCCGACACTACTAGCAACAACCAACTATAGGAGAGAACAAAGCAGAATTCAGCAGAGGAATAAATTCGGAAGAAGCGCTGGAAGTGGATAGGACACACATTGAGGAAAGCACATAACTGCGTCACAAGACAAGCCCTCACATGGAATCCTCAAGGCCAAAGGAAAAGAGGAAGACCAAAGAACACATTACGCCGAGAAATGGAAATAGACATGAGAAAAATGAACAAGAATTGGATGGAACTAGAAAAGAAGGCCCACGACAGAGTGGGTTGGAGAATGCTGGTCGGCGGCCTATGCTCCATTGGGAGTAACAGGCGTAAGTAAGTAAGTAAGTATGTAAGTAGTAGTAAGTAAGTAAGTAAGTAAGTAAGTAAGTAAGTAAGTAAGTAAGTAAGTAAGAGTCTTAGTGGTGAAATGTTTAAAAACTGAGATTAGCTATCGAGTTTCAATTTATTAGAAATTTGGTGGCCCATTATTTTGTGGATATTATAGTAATTTTAATAGTCGAGATTGTGAGCCAGTTGAAACAATGACCAGTAAAGTTCAAGCTGGTCGCCTAATTTCGTAGATTATTTGAAGTTACACAATAACACTGGTAGATACCAGGTCAGTGGTCTGGAGGTTAACCGATAGGTCTTGGATCCGAATCTGGAGAAGTGAGATCATGAATGAGCAATGTTAGGGAGTCCCACAATAGGACGAAACACAATCCAGTGCTTTCAGGTTTTCCATGGTTGTATAACTTCAATTGACTCGTGATTCCAACTAACAAAATTTCCTATTTATATCAAGTATGCTTTATGGATAAAACAAAATAAGTGATGATAGATAAGTGCATTCTATAGAAATATGATAATAGAAAATTAAAATTATCAAAGTGAACCAACGCCTAAAACAAATAAATCATGCTTAATAATTGATCAGTATTTTTAATAATTAAGCATTTATATCATAATATTCTTTATGATAAATGAACTCTCGTTAGTTTTATCAACATTTAAACTTGGATAAATTATAAATTTTAATAGTTGAATTCATGAGTCAGTTTGAGCTAAGCTGCCACTTACTCCTCAGCAATGCGTGTTCACGATCCTACACATGAACGCTTAACCTCAAAGCCATTGGACCGGCATCCAATGGTGTTAATGTCTAACTTCCATCGATCCACAAATGGCTGCTCAACCATTCATCCCTTGTCTCAGGTAGATACCTGTCTCTATCCAACACGGATTAAAATCTACTAGTCACGGTTCCTCACTAGACCTCCATAAAATCATCTTGATAATGGATAGATGGTTGCGCAGCTATTTATGAATCTATGAACTCTAGACATTAACATCGTTAGATGCCAGCTTATTAGTCTAGAGGTTAAGCGTTTGCGTCCGAGATCGTGGACGCGCATTGTTGAGAAGTAAATGGTGGTCTAACTTACATCAACTCATGAATTCAACTTTTATAATTACTACAATCTCCACAAACCCCATTCTGATCAAAATTATAAATTATTATTACTGAGTTGTTATAAAATCCAATTAAAAAATATTGAACAAAGTATATGTCAAATTACGTTTCATTATTAATTGATCAGGCCTAGATCAAGGTCATCATATCATTTCCGAAAATAAAGGTTTTTAGTCATAAAAATATGCTCAAATTATTTATTTTATATTAAACATATCAATAGTTTATTAATCATAATCATTGTAGACAGAAATAATGTCAGTAAATAGATTGGTATTGCATTAGGGTAAAAGCTATGGTAGTTATTATTGAATATTATCATCAACAACTTACTATGGAAGAGAACAAACCGAATTTTAGCTGAGGAAGAAATTAGGAAAAGGACATTGGAAGTGCATAGCACACAGATTGAGGAACTCATCAAACTGTGTCACGAGATAAGCGCTATCTTGTCATCGTGAAGGGAAACGAAAAAGCGGAAGGCTGAAGAACACACTGTGTCGAGAACTGAAGGTATACATGAAAAGGCTCAATAGGAATTGGAATGAACTGGAAAGGATTGCCCAGTTCAGAGTTGTATGGAGAATTCTGATGGTTGGCCTATGCTCGTCGATGCGGGGTAAGAGGCATACATAAGTAAGTAAACGATGATATAATCATATTCACTATAAGATGACAAAAACGTATAAATATATCAACTATGCTAATTTTGTCCACGAACCAAGTAATTCAGGATAGCTGGAATTCCGTTTAGCATGATGTAGGGAATATATATATATATATATATATATATATATATATATATATATATCAAAGTAACCACATATCAAGATTCTGATTGTGTGATAAAGGTTTATCAATTCATCGCTGGTTATTTAAATCTAACCACAGTGTTAATTACTCTGTAATTTCGTCCTATGATAACAATGTTTCAATGACATCTTTGATCACATACATGTATGTTTTCATACATCTCCTATACAACTTAAAGTATTTATGACTATTACATCAATTTTCTGTGATCATGTTGAAGTACTCAACATGTGTTAAATGTATAACACCGGAACTGTCAATAACAACAACAACAACAACAAACTTAAATGGAACAGAATTATTCAAACTATTTACAAATGACTGATTTCAATCAGTATTATTTACATTTATTAACAAAAAAAAAGTAAAATAAACATTGTTATTTGATATGTCATTCAGGAAGTAACCATTCTAGTTATTAGATACAATTTGAAACAAATAATAATAAAAAAATAGAAATTTATAATATTAGAAGGGGGGTGTTTTGTGGATATTTTATAGTAGGTTGAGATCATGAGTCCCTTGAAACTAGACCACTATGGAATACTTGAAAGAATTTAGAAAACAATGTACCTAAAAAGCATCTGTTTTTTGTTTTGTATGTTAAAACAAGTTATTTCACATGATTACTTATTATAATGTTGTATATGTGTATAATTTTCCACTTCATTACTCATTAAAATATTAACTCAATTGATTATATTGTAGTGGTGCCCTGTAAAGAAAAGAATGTTCTGATCAGGATGATGATGATGATGATGATGATGATGATGATGATGATGATGATGATGATGATGATGATGATGATGATGATGATGATGATGATGATGATGATGATGATGATGATGATGATGATGATGATGATGATGATGATGATGATGATGATGATGATGATGATGATGATGATGATGATGATGATGATGATGATGATGATGATGATGATGATGATGATGATGATGATGATGATGATGATGATGATGATGATGATGATGATGATGATGATGATGATGATGATGATGATGATGATGATGATGATGATGATGATGATGATGATGATGATGATGATGATGATGATGATGATGATGATGATGATGATGATGATGATGATGATGATGATGATGATGATGATGATGATGATGATGATGATGATGATGATGATGATGATGATGATGATGATGATGATGATGATGATGATGATGATGATGATGATGATGATGATGATGATGATGATGATGATGATGATGATGATGATGATGATGATGATGATGATGATGATGATGATGATGATGATGATGATGATGATGATGATGATGATGATGATGATGATGATGATGATGATGATGATGATGATGATGATGATGATGATGATGATGATGATGATGATGATGATGATGATGATGATGATGATGATGATGATGATGATGATGATGATGATGATGATGATGATGATGATGATGATGATGATAATGATGATGATGATAGGAAAATGTTGACATAAAAAGATGAAACCTTTTTGTAGTGAAATATATCATGGATTCATAAAGTCAATGAATACCAATCTTAATCATGTGGGTTCATAAAGAATTTTTCATCAAGTTTTATTAGTTAGTCAGATTTTATGGTTTAAAGACTAAGGTGATGTTAGCTGAAACCAGTTCATTTACACAAATGTATTCACTCAGTAACTTGGTCAAAATTCAAAGTGAACCACTATCCACTGTGAAGTTTTGTTACTTCATGTTAAACTATTTCTCTTTTCACTTGATTGATATCATCGTTGTTTCGATTTCTTAGTATTCTGTCTAATTTCATTTTTATAGTTGACATGAACTAATGTAAAGTTGAATGGATCCAAATTTTTGTCCCTTGATGAATTTCGATAGAAGAATTAGAAGACGGAGTTGATCTGAAAGATGTAATGTATTTGCGCTATACATTTCGAACAATCTGATCACACATATACTTCTCAGGGCATCTTATATGAGAATTAATAAAGGGTAATTAAATGGAAGTTCAAGTAAAAAAAGTACCAGAGGTAGCGACACATTTTCAAATCGTATAGAAAGAATAAGAAATTGCCGAGTTATCCTAGGTCATAGAATGACTTGAAGATTATCAGGGTAAATTCAAGGTTACGGCATATTGTTTTTGTACACATGATGGGGTTTAAATTTACAAATAATCAAGGTTTCAATAAACCTGAGAATTCGTCTTTGATGAATTATCTAAAAGTGAATCATTATGATAAAATGCCAGGGGCTGACATATCTACTGGAGATCATGGAATGTATCTATCCTCGTACAGCTTAATCTATTTCATTACCAGGAGAGTTGTAACTATTTCATATTCTTTCTACTAAGAAAGTAATGTGAACTAACTTACTTTTCTGTCTTGCCACATTCCATATGTTATGTAAGTGCATATATTTTCTTCATTTTCTACATCATTTGAAGAATTTTATTTAAACCATTATGGTAAATTCGGTTGAATTTCATTATGATCTACCTTGATATTTTAATGTGATCTGTTAATTTATTGGAGAAGTCACGGATGGCTAGTTAATTGTAATTTTGAACTACATACATTCCTCAATACGAAAAAGGATAACCAGCTAAAAAAATCGCATTTTTTGTTTAGTTATACAACCAATACATGGGTTGGAGAATGCCGGTTGATGGCCTTTGGTTCCACTGGGAGCAACAGACGTAAGTAAGTAAGTAACATGTAATATTTCCATATTTGTGATATTCTGAAAAAAATCAAAATCTATTTGAGGGAAGAAAAAACTCAGTTTCTTATGGTTTTTACAAACTATTTTCTTCAATTTTGTAAATTTTTATATTTATTTATTTGAACATGTAAATATTGGTACGAAGGGGCACCAAATACATATGAGCCACATAAATCACTCGATTTGTATGTGGGCTGCGATACTGCCCGTGTGCTCAAACCAAAGCAGACCTAAAAGTCTAATCCATAAGGCAATGGAGCAATGTTAGGAATGTAGTCCCATGGTAGCTGGTGGCCAACAATTGGTTCATACACTACTTATTCCTTCAGGATCCTGGAGTCTATGTGACCACTGCTTTGAAATCAGGGTTTTGCAACTCTCCTGGGTGGATTCTCCGAGTTCACTCACTCGATTAAAGCTCTAGACGTTCACTTTTCGTCCTCTCACGTTCGTGAACAACACCACCGCCACGAGAAAGCAGTGAATAGGACTTTCCTGGCAATGGATGTATACTTGTGGCTATGTGAGAGTAATTTGAGAGAGGGAGCTGACTCTCTCCACCCTCGACCGTACCAAGCCATTTGAGGGCAAAATTTTATGTATTATCCATCATAAGCGAATATTGTGAACTTTATAAGTCATCACAACGAATATGATAACAGTTTGTATTATTTGATCTCTTCCAAACGAAATGTTAGATATCCGCTATCCTAGAAATAAATATCACGCAGTAATAATGGAAATTATCACAAAAAGGAACATCATTTCAAAACAGGATTTTCTATATCAAATAACATCAAGAAAAAATTCAATTATCCCTAGAAACCTGATTAAGGAAGGAAATTAACTGATAAACGAAACAACACAGTTCCATAACTAATAATTGAAAGTTAGAAGAAAAACACCTGTATGAAGCACTTATAAATACTCAAAGAAAATTATGGTGTTAAGAATAATATATATTATTATTATCATTTTAAGGTGGTAAGAACTAGTTACTGGGATCCCTTAGATCAAGGTTTCATATTGGGTTAGTACTGGTTATCAAGGCATTTATGTACCATTTCTGGGAACTGAAGGTTTGATTTATGTAAAAAAAATATCCCACCTATTGGTTACATTTCAAATTGATTAATTAAACGTAATCATCACATAAAATTGGGTAACATAAGATAAATTATGTTTATGTTTTTTGATGGAGTTTTGTTCCAGCTCAGAGAACAAAACTCCATCAAAATCATCCATCTGAGCTACAAATCTTCTCCATCATCTCATTATGTTTACATATTTAATTTATGTGTAAACTGTTTTTAAAATAATCAACTTTGATTGCCTACTTGAACAGGTTAGAGGTAAAGAATCTTTCAACGTCAATCTAAGATGATTTTATCCATATTAATCAGAATCTTTATGGAGTCATTAGTGGAATGTCCAGATATCCAGTGAATATTGACTAATAAGACTAATAGTTTTAATATATGGATATAACAAACTTGTTTATAATAAGTTATTCTTTGTAGGTATTATGTAACTATGGATCATATTTCCGTCTTATAAGTCATTTCAACTTGTGAACAACATAAAATGAGAATTAAAAACACCTTCTTCTGAAACAAACAAAACAAATTGATTAACTGTCATTTAATCTTTAGCCGTAAATGTTTACGGTCCATTTTACATCTTATAATTATATTTATTGCATGAGTTTAATTATTATCAACTATATCTTTTCTCTCACCTGCCTACAATTGGAAAATATATGGAATTCAAAACAACTGTCTGATAACCAATATCAAAGTGAGAATCTTCAATACAGATGTTAAGACAATTCAACTGCACGGTGCTAAGACTTGGACAACCACCACAAAACATCATCAAAGATGTACGAGTATTTATAAACAATTATCTTAGTAAGATACTGTCCACTGACCGGATACCATCAGCAATAGCCTACTGTGTTAGAGAACAAACAAACTTCCAGCTGAAGAGGAAATTAGGAAAAGACAATGGAAGCGGATAGGATATACATTACGGAAATCATCAAACTGCATCACGAGGTAAGCCCTAACTTGGAATCTTGAAGGGAAGCGGAAAAGAGGAAGGTCAAAGAACACATTACGTTGGGAAATGGAAGCAGATATGAAAAGGATGAATAGAAACTAGAAAGAGCTGGAAAGGATTGCATAAAACAGAGTAAGCAAGTAAGTACGCAAGCAAGCAAGCAAGTAATTAAGTACTAACTTTTCTCTAAATAACAAATTGAAACAAACTGAATCAACATAATCTCACTTTACCTAATTTTTTATTCATTTCCGTTATTATTATTATTATTATTTTTAATTTAACACACTTGTTTCTGAATGAAAACATCACAGCGGTAAATATCCTTGATCCTGTCAGAATCATTGTTAATTTCACAAACATTTTCACGACCAGTATTGTCGTTGTTGTTGTTGTTGTTGTTGCTGTTTTCTTCTACTTCTTTTTAAAGCAAAAACTTTCTCGTTTATTATTTTTTTTTACTTGAATGAAACCCATAGTTCTATAACTCATCTACCGAAAGTTCTACCACACATTATGTTTTTTTTTATCAAAGGAATTTTAAACTTATCTTCTTTACCAATCTTTTGTTGTTGTTGGTGGTGGTGGTGGGGGTGAGGGTGTTGTTGTTGACTGAAATAAATCTTTCAGACTTAAGACTTGATTGTTCTTGAGATAGGAAATAGAATAAACACAAGACAAAATGTTCATTACTAACTACTACTAAGCTTATTCTTTTGTATTATTATAATATTATATCAATCTCATAGATTAAGCATTATCATATTACATAATATAATTAGTTTAAATTACTTTTAAGTTATGTAGATGTGAAAAGATTTAATTGGTTTAATGGTTAACTGAAATATTGTAAGCAATTTTAAGGACAAAACAACCAAAATATACATTCCATGCAATCAACCATAAATTAAATTCACTTGCTGTTGTTTTACTTGTATCTTCCCAGTGTTCTTTAGGATTGTAATTGATCAGTTTCATGTTGGCATATGTGCATCCTATGCGGATTGCCTCGATCTAGCTTTAATTCACAAGTACGATAAGTAAAGATGGATAGTGATCAGCAGTGGAATCAAGTTTGACGCGTGTTCCGTCCTATTTGGGACTCGTCAGCCGAATGTACCTGCATCTCAGAGTTGATGTTCACTCTGGGAATCGAACTCAGTAATGTTCGCTTCAAACGCGAGTTCTGGATTTCACTGCTAGCCGCTATTCATCTTTCCAACCATAAGTTAGTTTTATTTAGAGATTGATACTATTTGAATATTTGGCCAACTGTTTAAAGACAGTGCTAATATGATACGAAAAAAAGAGTTCATATTTATTCTAATTGAATTATTCGAATACCTGCAACTATGCTGATTAGTGTTGGAGACGGTCGGAAGAAAATTAGGGGTGGCCAAACTAAAACTTTACATCAGTCATTGAAGTCACTAGCTTCTAGTCTGAGCCATGTCGGTAGATACATACTATTCGGTTGGGGTCCGTGTGACTATTGTAACCACTGTTTGAAGAATCTGGGTGATATGGCTCAGAGTCCATGACAATGAGGTAGGTGTATTTACTTGAGATGTTAGAGAAGATTTGTAGCTCAGGTGGGTGATTTTGCTGGAGTTTTGTTCTCTCCCTGAAGTTTGTGTTGATGATGTCGTTCAGAAGGACGATAAAAGCTCGGCGAACAAACCATCCAGCTCAGACAATGAAACTCCACCAAGACGC